TCTCACAAGCCAGCTTTTATACATTTACTTTAGTTATCTAGAATGTTCTATTACTATTTATAGCGTATTACAAGTTGTACTATTTTTGGAAACTGCTGAGTCACATGAAAGAAGTTTCTGGAATATTACAGATCATAGATAATTCTAGAAAAGTCTGGGATTGCGTGACAGATTCGGTAATAATAATACGATCCTCGTAACAAGGTATAGTATGTGTAGTGGGTGTAGTGGGTTTAGTGGGTGTAGTATGTATAGTGAGTGTAGTGGGTTTAGTAGGTGTAGTAGGTTTTGTAGTTTTAGTGTGGTAGTTGTAGTTAATGTAGTATGTGTGGTAGGTGTAGTACGTGTAGTAGATGTAGTAGATGTGGTAGGTGTAGTAGGTGCAGGTGTAGTGTAGTAGGTGTAGTAGTTTTAGTTAGTGTAGTAGGTGTAGTAAGTGTGGTAGGTGTTGTAGTTTTAGTGTAATAGTTGTAGTTAGTGTTGTAAGTGTAGTATGTGTGGTAGGTGTAGTATGTGTAGTAGGTGTAGTAGATGTGGTTGGTGTAGTAACTGTAGGTGTGGTAGGTGTCGTAGTTTTACTGTAGTAGGTGTAGTGTAGTAGGTGTAGTGGGTGTAGTAGTTGTAGTGCGTGTAGCAGGTGTATGAAGCGTAGTAGGTGTAGTAAGTGTAGTTGGTGTAGTAGGTGTAGTAAGTGTAGTAGGTGGAGTAGTAGTACGTGTAGTAGGGTATAGTAATCGTAGTAGGTGTAGTAAGTGTAGTAGGTGTAGTAAGTGTAGTAGGTGTAGCAAGTGTAGTAGGTGTATTAAGTGTGGTAGCTGTAATAGGTGTAGTAGGTGTAGTAATTGTAGTGGGTGTAGTAAGTGTAGTAGGTGTAGTAGGTGTGGCAAGTGTAGTAGGTGTAGTAGGGGTATTAATTAAGTGTAGTAGGTGTAGTGGGTGTATTCTATGCAGTAAGTAGTAGTTGTAATACGTGTAGTAGTTGTAGTTGGTGTAGTAAGTGTAGGATGTGTAGTAGGTCTAGCAAGTATAGTAGGTGTAGTAAGTTTAGTAGGTGCATTAGGTGTAGTAAGTGAGTAAGTGTAGGAGGTGTAGCAGTTGTGGTACGTGTAGCGGTTGTAGTAAGTGTAGTAGGTGTAGCAGTTGTAGTACGTGTAGCAGATGTAGCAAGTGTAGTAGGTGTAGCAGTTGTAGTACGTGTAGCAGGTGTAGCAAGTATAGTAGGTGTAGCAGTTGTAGTACGTGTAGTAGGTGTAGTAAGTGTAGTAGGTTTAGTGAGTGTAGTAGGTTTAGTAAGTGTAGGTGTAGCAGTTGTAGTACGTGTAGTAGGTGTAGTAAGTGTAGTAGGTTTAGTGAGTGTAGTAGGTTTAGTAAGTGTAGGTGTAGCAGTTGTAGTACGTGTAGTAGGTGTAGTAAGTGTAGTAGGTTTGGTAAGTGTAGTAGGTGTAGCAGTTGTAGTACGTTTAGTAGGTGTAGTAAGTGTAGTAAGTTTAGTGAGTGTAGTAGGTTTAGTAAGTGTAGTGAGTGTAGAAGGTTTAGTAAGTGTAGTGAGTGTAGTAGGTTTAGTAAGTGACGTGAGTGTAGTAGGTTTAGTAAGTGTAGTGAGTGTAGTAGGTTTAGTAAGTGTAGTGAGTGTAGTAGGTTTAGTAAGTGTAGTGAGTGTAGTAGGTTTAGTAAGTG